CCCCCCATTTTTTTCGGAGATGAGTTAATATAACGGGCAGATCAGAGGTCCCCGTGGGGGTCACAGTGGGGCTGGCGCTAAATCTTACTGGAATAGGAAAGAGTTGGCTGTTACCGTGGAAGTGCGCAAAGACATGGAGGGGTATACTTTACTTTTATAACAACGTCTTGCTGTGAGGCTAATGTTTTGGAAGATGTTTGTCCTAAAACTTGATAAAGGTGGTGATGGTGGTGGTGATGATGATGATGATGATGATGATGATGATGATGATGATGATGATGATGATGATCTACGCTGTAAATATCTAAAGAAACGCCACAACCTCAGGATACAGAGTCCCTCCAAGACGACCTACACTCGCCTGCTCGTCTGGAGACCCACATCCTCATTTCTCTCCGAACCATCAGTATCGTAACCCTCGACCCCTCACTACAGATCATCGTTTATCGACTGACCGTTTCAACCATTCGTTACCTGCGAGCCCAGACGCTCTACTACCACATGCAGACTCCAAAGCTCCGACGCTGCCTGCACCCGACAGCTAAGCTACGTCCCTAACCAGCTCCTTCACACAAGCCCTAACAAAATATTGAGACTCACGATTGTTCCCTCAGGCCCTTAACCGATCAACTCCACTAGAAGCTGCCCCCATGGTCTATTCTACGACAGTGTTCATTTACATGTATGTCTTATTCCACCTTCATCATGTCTGCATGTTGCCTCTACCTTTAGCACCGTCCTTTACGAACCACACACTGTACCTACTTTTTCCCCTCTTTCCCCTACTTCTCTTGAATCTAACTTGACCTCTACGAACCCTGATGGCCATACACCTTCTAATTCGTATGGACTAACGAAACCAGACACTGGCGGCGCCTCCCCTCGTTTACCTACTCAGCATACTGCATCCTCACCACAAACACGGCCAGTCCTCACGCCTAACACCTCTTCCCACTACTCCTCTCCGGGAAATGTCATCAACCTCTCCTAACTACCCCTATCATCTGCCCAAGTTTAACTCTTATCGAAGGGAAAAGGTTTTTGGCCTATCCAAAACAATTTTTACTTTTTCAATTCATACGAAAGATTACACTAGACGTTGCAGGCTTTTGGAATACTTTTCAGAAACAAACTCTTCTCCTTCTCCTGTTATACCACCTAAATTATACGTTAAAAGTAATTGGACTCCCCCTCCAGAACGTAATGCTGCCCTTGACCTCTATTGCGACAACATAGAAAAATCAGCGTTCCATAGCAGAGACACTTGCAGACAACCGTCAAAAAGGATAATTTACCTCGTGCAGAAAGGTCAGCCCTTTGCGAACTCATTGATAACACCAATCTAACTAACCGTGAAGCTGACAAGGGTGGCTCCATTGTGATCCTGGACACCTCTAACTACAATAACGCCGTCGCGTCTATGTTGAATAACCCTTCTCTTTTTAAACCCCTGAGCTCTGACCCCACTTCCTCTCATCTTAGCGCCATTCAGGACCAAATCCACCATCTCTAATATCTCAACGTTATATCCCCGAATTTGTCCAAGTGTATTCTTCACGGGGAGATGTCATGCCTCTACGCTTATGGCCTACCAAAAATCCACAAATTATCAAACAACAATGCCACCCCCCCCCTCCCATTTAGAGGCATTACATCCCGAATAAATGGTCCTACCGTCAGAGCTTCCTATTAACTGTACATCATCCTCAAACCACATGTCCCTGACTTCCGCGGTATCCACAGGGTGAAAGATAACCTCCACGTTCTCTCTCCCCC